ACTATATGTGTATTGTAATCACACTTGTAATATATAAGACAGCCAGCCACTGCACGCAGGATCCGGAGACACCGGTGGGACACAAGCAGCTGCAGCAAAACCAACGAGACGCATGAGCGGCAAAACGGCATTCATGGCCGGTGCGCCAGCTGCTAAGAAACCTACGACATCTCCGCCTCCAAGCCTTACCGCTCCCCTGGAATTCGATGTGAAGGCGACAGCCATGAAAGGCATCTGGGCTTTAACTTAATAGTAGCAACAATATATTTAAACCCTGCACCCCTAAACCCCGAAGCCCGCCGCACGTAATCCCTAAACCCTTAAACCCAGCCCACCAAAGGTGCTTCCCCGGTGCCGACGAAGCGAGAACTTCCAACCTCGAAGCCCGTGACTTCGAAAGGCCAAGCCCAACCCGTGCAGCCCGGACCGGTAGAGACACCGAAGCAACCCGGACCGGTACAGACGCCGAAGCAACCCGGACCGGTACAGATGCCGAAGAGTGCTGCCAAGCCTCTTCCAGCCGAAGGCAGCAGAACCAGCAGTCTGGCAGTCATGGGCCGTCCGCCAGCCTCGGGACAAGCTGGCTTCCCGAAAGTGCCGGTGCCGATAAAGCAATGTCCCAACACACCCACGAAGCAAGCAGTGAAGAGCCAGCCAACAGCTGATGATGTTACCATGGCGAGCCCACCTGTGCCAAAGGCCTCCCCAAAGCCGAGCCCAGCCAAGGATGTGCACATGTCGGGATCTACGCCAACCCCTGCCAAAGTTGGGACACCTTTCAAGCCAGGCTACACGCCCGTCAAGAGCCCGGACTACAAGAAAGCCCGGAGGGCACTCTTTGAAGATGCCGCCGAGGCCATTAATATAATTACTGGGCTAAGATCCATATGTAGATTTTTGGTGTGTTTCTACCCATTTCAGAATCCCTGCTGGAGGTGCCGGAAAGCTCTGCTTCGAAGCCTGATCAACTGCCAGGCTGTCTCATGATCATGCATTGGGTGTCTGCCAAGTACAGTAGCTTAGATTAGACAACTAGATAGTTTGAATAAACCCTAATAATATATACCTAAACTGTCAACATACCCTAAACCTTATTCCCACACATGTTCTCTGGGCTTCTCTATGTTGTTTAACTATCTACTCTAAATTCCGGATCCTATTGGTGCTGTTTGCTTGCATTTCAGCTACATCTAGCATAGAATTCTTTCGTAGCTTATGGTACGATGGTTCTAGGATATTGGCTGCCCAAAACCCAATCCCCAAACCCTACCCAAAAACCCAATCCCCAAACCCTAAAGCCTAAATTTGTTAATGTATGCAGGCCAAAGCCAAGCTTCGCCGGCCGGGGTGCAGCCCATCCGCAGGCCGGACAGCCTCACCACGGTGGCTCGCTCAACAAGCACTCTGGTGCTGGGGGACTTTCCGCGAGAGGAGGAGGACCCCTCGACAGGTGTCCGGAGGTTGATCTTCGAGGGCTACTATGGCATGCCGTGCCAGGACAAGCAGTGGCCCCCTCTTGAAGAAGCTATTCGCTTCCAAGACGCTTCGCCGATGATGTCCTGGATCAAGGACGCCCTGCCTCGGCATCCGCAGAATGGTGTTGTGATGGAGGATGACATCAGGACCGACTTGCTGATGGACTCGGATGGCCTAAAGTACTTAATGCTACTCGTCAACGGAGCTTGGACAAAGGTTTCTGAGTATGAGGCTCTGAAGGCCAAAACCGCAGCCGTGGCAGAGGCAGTCCACAACCAAGCCGAGAACATGATCCAGAAGCTTCGGCAACAGTTGGACAACGGCGAATTGGGCGAGGACCTACTGCACAAACGTGCTACAGCCACGGAGCAGTGGAGGTCCAAGAAGAGCAAGGAGATCCAGGATCACCTGGAGCGGGCGGAGTTGGCTGCACTCGTGGCCATCGACAAATCAGTCGATCCCCTCTTGGGCAAGTGGAACCTGTTCAACGAGTTTGGTTGGATGCAAACAACGACGATCGAGGAGGACATAGGCGAGCAGCTCTTCATGGACGAGCTGGAGGCATCTATGGCAAACTTCTCTCTAGAGGCCTGGGTTCTTTGGATGCGAGCAGGGTACCCTAATCCCGAAACTCCACGTCACACGTAGAAGCTGCCGAAAAAGTGTTAACCTGCAACCCGTAAGCTTAAGCTTGAATCCTGAGCCCTTATAAAGTTTCAACCAGTCCGCAAACATCGCAGAAACTTATTAAAGCCTAGACCTTAGTCCCTGTACAATACCTAATAAGCCAAAGCAGTCCTCTTTCGAAGCCTCCACATCGCCTTGCAGTACCGACTTGGTTAAACTAGACTACTGCCAGCCACTGGTGCTGCCGTTGCGAAATCAATTCGAATTCGAGATCTAGAGCTAGCACACTACTGTACTAGATAGCTACTGCTGGTGTTTATACTATACGTACCACTACTACGTACTACGCTACTAGTACTAGTACTACTACCACTACTACTACTAGTATTACTACTACTACTCCTACTACTACTACTACTACTACTACTACTACTACTACTACTACTACTACTACTATACTACTACTACTACTACTACTACTACTACTACTACTACTACTACTACTACTACTACTACTACTACTACTACTACTACTACTACTACTATAATACTACTACTACTACTACTACTACTACCACTACTACTACTACTACTACTACTATAATACTACTACTACTACTACTACTACTACTACTACTACTACTACTACTACTACTACTACTACTACTACTACTACTACTACTGCTACTGCAGTAGTAGCAGTAGTAGTAGTAGTAGTAGTAGTAGTAGTAGTAGTAGTAGTAGTAGTAGTAGTAGTAGTACTAGTACTAGTACTAGGACTAGTACTGTATACTAGATATCTATCACTTCTACTTTGTTTTTCTGCTGCTAGCTATAGCACTCGTACAACCTCCACAGTGCTAGTACTACGAACCGCTGTGCCCAGGAGCCGTCGTCGCTCCCGCTTCCGGAGACCTTGGTGGACACGCAGGGAACAGGCAACCAGGCTATGGAAGGAGTGGTTTCGCAGCCCATGCAAGCAGAAGCCACGCAGGGAACACGCGACCAGCAGGAAGCCATGCAGCAAGGACCGGATTCGGAGTCGGGGGTCCCTATGCAAGCAGACGCAAATCTAGCAGAGGCCACACAGGGAACACGCGACCAGCAGGAAGCCACGCAGCAAGCACCAAATTCGGAGTCAGGGGTCCCGATGCACGCAGACGCAGAGGCCACACAGGGAACAGGCGACCAGCAGCAGGAAGCCACGCAGCAAGCACCAGGTTCGGAGTCAGGGGTCCCGATGCAAGCAGACGCAGAGGCCACGCAGGGAACAGGCGACCAGCAGCAGGAAGCCATGCAGCAAGCACCGGATTCGGAGTCAGGGGTCCCGTTGCAAGCAGACGCAGAGGCCACGCAGGGAACAGGCGACCAGCATGAAGCCGTGGAGTCAGGGGTCCCGACGATGCAAGCAGATCAAGCCACGCAGGGAACAGGCGACCAGCAGCAAGCCATGCAGCATCCGGATCCAGGGGTCCTCCAGCTGGCCCCGGTTGAGGCTCGCAGCAAGACGTCGGCCAGGACGGAGGCCGTTTTCAAGGCATTGGAGAAGCCCAACTCTTTCGATTTGAAGGACCCGAGTTTCGTTGGAAAGGGTGCTAGTCCCGAGGCTGGTTTCAGGGGTAGTGGGGGTCTTCCAAGGCCTTTCGGACAGTTTTGGGATCACGCTGCCCCTAAACCCTCTACGATACATGGCAGGAAGCATCGCTTACCCAGAAGGAAGGCGAATCCACTGAGGAGTGGATGACGAGGGTGGCCCACAATGTCTTCATGAAGTTCCACCGGTCCATCCGCAGTGCTTGGCTTTGATATTATCAGCTAGGTAAAGCCTGAAATCTCCAAATTCTTTAAACCCTGAAGCCCTGAACTGTCTCCTTGATCCGAATTGCATCCAACTATGTACAACAATCGCTAGAGTTGTGATCATCTCTGGAATGTAAATACTGGAAACTACAAAATAATTAATTAGCGAGATCTTTGCGAGAACGTTTGGGAGAGATTTGCGAGAAAATAGTGAGAGCTGCAGAAAGCTTTGCGAGAAATCTGAGAGCATTTAGCAAGCGAATAGCAAGCGAATAGCAAGCGAATAGCAAGCAAATAGCAAGCAAATAGCAAGCAACAGTGCACGAGATGCAAGAAAGAATCGCAGCAACTTTGAGAGGGGTCTCATATGGAATATACAGATCGGACAAACTTCGCGGCTACCGCTGGCTCTCCAAGCCAGAACTCTAGGCCTCTAGGCCTTAGGCTTTGAAACCCTAGAGAATTAAGCTCCAAACCCAAGACCTCTCAACCCCCAAATCTTACGTCTAAACCGGTTTGGGCCTGCTTCAGAAGGCTCCGAGAAAGCTGCCAAAAGCTCTTGCCTCCAACAAGGATCCATCGTTTTCCTTCGCACAGTGTCACGAGGGAACTCACTCCTAGGTGGGAAAAGCGTCGCAGCCACCTCAGCTGCAGGAAAGCGTGCAAGCTCAAGCTCGTGGGTCCTAGGTTTTAAAGTGCGAGTTGCGGTCTCAGCATTTAGGGTTGAGGACTAAAAGTGTCGGGATCTGGGTGCTGAGTTCACAGTGCCAAGTAGAGTTTAGAAGGTTTAGGAGTATGGCCCGGGTCTTGAGTCTGCAAGAATGTGGTGGACGTCGCCTTTCCATGTGCAGCCTCTAGTGAGGTTCCACCTCGCCAGGTACGCACAGATTCGTGAGATGTCGCGACAGCTGTTTATAAGATACTGGACATGTTTGCCATGCCCCAACGGGCTCAGCCCAGCTGATGCGCGTGCAGGGGCAAGTTCACCGAACTTGGAAGTGTTCTGAAACCAGCTACTTACAAGTTTTCCCTTATGGACTCAGATTCTACTATATGCTCAAAAGAAGCCCTGTTAAACCTACTACAGCCCCTGCGCGTCACTGCATGGCGGCAACTGCTTGCTCATACAACACAGGGTGGATGTCTTCCTGGCCCACTGCGTACTTGTTGCTACCCGTCCTCAAAGGCGAGACTTGCCCGGAAACGAGGCCTTTGGCCTTCTGCACTGCCTGAAGATCACTTGCCCGCTCCTTCATGCTTTTCAAGGCCACTGACAACACGATCTCCGTAAAGATTGCCCCGCCAGCTCTGACCATCTTCGTGGCCTCGGTGCACTCGTCGCCGAGGGCCCGAAGTTCATCATTCATCAAGTCACCCGCTGCCCGGTTCACACGATCCGCGAAATCTCGGGCATCAGTGACTCCCTCAGCTCAAGGACGACACTGAACTTGGGTTTTTACGGTAACTCACCATCTATCTTGCCAGAAATATGTCTTCCTTCACGCTTCCGATCTACACCGACAGCTGCACCTACACTACACTCACTAGGTGCGCTTACACTTGTCCCTAAACTGCAGATCCGTGGAACCTACAGTAGAAGCCAGAAAGTTGGAACATGGCTTTAGGAGGATTAGTGCTAGGATCCCTTATGCTTTACCTTAAGGGCATGAGGAGTCTGATGTTCCAACTTTCTGGCTTCTACTATAACTGTCTAACTGAGACATGCACCTCCAGGAGCTCGTCCAACTTCGACTTCAAACCACTAGACTGCACAACTGGCTTCAAAACCGTCTCGTATGCTTCGAGCACCTGAGCCAAATCAGCATCGCCTGACAAAGTGTCCTTCCAAGACTTGTCGCCGGCGAAGCCCGCGGATTCCTTGTCGAGGGATGCCATCAAGCTGCGCATGTCGTTGCCCTTCTTTGTCGCCGCAAAGCTCACCGCATCGCTGAGAACCTCAGACTTTAGGATGGAGCGCTCACCTGCAACGAAGTGCTTGAAGTTGACACACAACACGGCTTGCTCAGGGGAGTGGCGGACAGCTGCCAAATCGCTGAGGTCGATGTCAGGCAGCCCACTCTCTGGCCCAAGTGCCTTCTCCATGGAGGCAAAGGTCTCCCGAACCTTCCCGATGCCTTCCACCGCGGCGATGAGGGAAGCGTGCTTGGCATCGTTCTTAGCACGCTCCTCTGCGTCTCCGCCGCGTGCAGCATAGATCCGCTCTGCTAGGCGATACTGGGAAACGGCAGACACGAACTCGAACATGGCCCCAGTGGCTTTGGCGTGAGCATGCCCGGCTAGCATTGCAAATGCCCGGGCCACGTTGGCCAAGTGAGGTGCTCCTCGAATGGTCTCATCTAGGTGGGCATTCGCCTGCAAAACATGTTCTGGAATCTATACGGAACAAACCCCCAACCGGGAACCATGCAGCCTGACTCGAATAGCAAGTTACACCACACCGGCCCTAGACTCTAGACTCTGGACTTATCCGACATACCCAACACTGAACGCCACACGTTCTCAGATTGCAGAATCTGATACACTGATACACCAGCAACGAGTACAAAAGAGCGGAACTATCATGCTAGCAGATTCCCCCTCAATATGTCCACACTGGCATGCCTCGTGAACAGACAGCTGCAGCAAGTGCACAGTAGCTTCGAGAAGGCGACCACGCAATGGCTCGGGAATCTGGGTGTCGGTGGGTGGCCGAGCCTTTCGCGTCAATGCTTTGATGTCATCCAAGGGCATGACCTCGAAGAGCGAAACCTTCTCCGGAGACTCACCCACCTGCTTCAAGTAGGTCCCTAAGACTCGAGAAAGGGCCTCTTGGTGAAGCCGGCAGTTGTGCTTGGTGGCCCATTGCACGAGCAGGTTGGATGCATCGAAGCAGATGCTGTGCTGCGAGTAGCTCTTCAGCAGGGCCAGCAGAGAATCAACATCCTCCGACGCGATGTCCTCGCACGTCTTGCTCTGGTAAACACTTGCTGCCACCGCTGAGAGCTTGTGAACAAGCGTCGGCTCCATTGACAACGCTCGGCCCTTTCGAAGCCCTTCCTTGAAACTCGACAGGTTCTCTGCCGCGAACTTCAAGTCTGGAATGCTCGGTACCTGTGCCTTCAGCTTCTGCATGCACACGAGGAAAGTGGGCTCGAACTTGAGGGTGCTTGCACTTGTCTTCAAAGCGTCCTCAGCCAAATCCAAAAGAAAGGCTCGCGCGTGCTTCTCATCATCCGCTGCATCCTTCCGCTCTGGCTTCGTCAGGATGTTGCAGATTGTTCTCTCCCAAGGAGATGTGCCCTTGTATTTCAGGAAATACTGGAGGGCCTCAAATGACCGGACCTCATGATCTGCCTGCACCAACTCATGCACACAGCTCGCAAATCGCTTGAAGCTGGTCACCGCATCGCGCACAGGCTGCATGCAAGGAAAGCCGAGGAGTTCATCCCAGCTTGGGTTGGTTTGCAGGGAGGACAGGAAACTCTTGAAGAAGGTCAGGAGCAGGCGCTGGTGATCTTCATTCACGAGCTTGCAAAAGAGGTCGATCATCGTGTCGCTCACCAGACATTCCAGGATCTCTGCAGCAAGGGCCTGCCGAGACAGAACTGAAACCCTTTTCCTGGAAAACTAGAGGGTTAAGTTAAGTGCTTCGGCTTAGGCTTGAGGGTTCAGGGTTTGGGGTGCATGTTCTTCGAACGGAGCCTTGATGTGGCTCTCCAGGCCACTCTCGCCCTTCTGCTCCTTGCCCTGGCCACTCTCCTCTGTCTCCTCGCCGAACAGATCCAAGTCTACGTCGTCTGTAGAAACGCTGGAAGCCTGCTTCATCACATCCTCCAGGAGCGGTGCAAAGCTAGGCTGCTGAACATCACATGGCTTCATCTGCACCTTCCGGACAACGCCGGACTCACTGTTGGCTGCGGAAACAGGGAACACTATGCGCTTTGCGATCACCTCCACCAGCTGCAAAGCCTCTTTCCGGTCTGTTGTCTGAACCGCCTCATTCAGCTGGTCTTGGACCAGCTTGCCTGTGATGGAGATCCGCAAGTCAAACGGGGCCGCGGGGAGGTCCTCTCGCAAAACCATGATCAATTTCAAGAAGGAAGCATTCGGGATGGCACGCAGAGGCTCCCCCATCAGTGACATGGCAGCCTCCGCGCGGGCAATTCGGTCGTGCAGCTCGTGCTGTTCCCTGGCCTTGTGGGCCACCAGAGTCTTCAAGCAGCTTTTTGCCTGGGTGACCGCAGCTGAGACTAGTACTGAAAACAGAGAAACCCACCAGACTACCCGGTACCACGTCCTACTTCGCCTTTCAGGCCTTGGTCTTACGCCTGGCGCCCGAAATTTCTCAAGATGCAGGATACAGGCCTAAGGCTATGGCACACAAGGACACTGACTGAAGGGCAGCATGCTAGGTTTGCCGCCCAGATACGCCTTGAACAGACTTCCCCAACTTTTCTCCCTTCAAGATCCGCTCCGCTTGCAGATTCCACAAGCACGGCGCTTCCTTGCCCGTGATCAGGAAGTGGCGTTTTGTAATAGCTACCATGTCCTTGTCGTCTGCCTGTTCCACGTCAGGGGGGTACTCGGCGCCGTTGTCGCCCGCCATCATGTCCTCCTCGCTGGCGGCAGCCTCTTCTTCAAGAGGCTGTTTGCGCTTTTTCCCTCTGTTCTTTGCCGCCTTCTTTGCCTCCGCACCATCCTCGAGGTCTGCAAAGGAAGCAAAGCCGAGTCCGTGCTGAACTGTAGCTTCCTCCAGATTCTGCAAAGCCTGCAAGTCCGCGTCCTCGCTTTGCGGAGGATTCAGGTCTCCTGCAGCTGCCTGTGTTTGCTCTCCGCCCTCCTGACCAGCCTCCATCTCGTCTGCCTCGTGCTTCAGATCTGGGATTGTCCACAACCCCGCGCGACCACTGACCTTAAAGCCTGAGGCTCGGCCAGCGAAGAGCTTCTTCACCGCGTGGTCGTACCACTCTTTGCCTTGGGCCGGGGTGAGCTGTCGCTCTGGCTCCACGTACAACTTCTGCAAGTTCAGCTGCAGCTCGTGGAAGACCCGGAGCTTGCGCATGGAGACGTAGTCACCAAAGCTGATCCCGTCTAGGGATATGATGTAACCAGTGCTCTTCTGGCCTTCTTCGGAAATTGCTTCGACCGCCTTGAGTCCTAGTGCCTGCGGCGATGCCCCGCACACTCGGGTCACCTGCGCAGCGGTCGGGAAGCCGTACTCGAAGTACATGCACTCTCCTGGCACACCGCTGCACTGGCAAACCACAGGAACACAACTAACTAGTAACTAGTACCTAGTACTGATGGGCCCCCAACCCCCTCCTCTTCTCCCCTTACTTTGGTCGGGCCCGCAAGGCCGGGCCCGACCAAAATCACCCACCACGCGGCATGGCTGATGCTCATGATTCTTGTTTTTCGTCTCGCCCGAATGACGCATGATGCTCGTTTCTCGGGGGCTGCGGGCAGGATATGCTCAAGTGGGAAAACACATGATGCGCACACTCGCATCATGTCTTGCTCCACGATTTCAGGGGTGCATGGGTGAACAAATATGATGTGCGCGCGCGGTCCTACAATGCTCCAACATAGTCACACGCTCTCTTTGGGCTTGTTGTCGTTCCCAAAAATCCAGAGTGAAAACTCCTGTATACATTGTGCTCTCGTGTTCGGCCTATCGGCTATCACGTTGTTAGGTTTCCGGCTTTAAAGCAATGCTCCTAACCCGGCCGCAACAATGAAGACCCAAGCCCGAAACTCAGATTCCCCGCCTCCGGGTAACACCGCCACCCCAAGGTTTTGGCTGGTCGGCGGCTGGTTTGGGTGTGACTTTCCGGCTGGTCGGCTGCTGGTTTGGGGGGACTTTCTGGTTGGTCGGCTGCTGGTTTCGGGCCCGGGCTGTGGGACGGTGCCCCGACCCCCGGCCTGGGACGGTGCCCCGGCCCCCGCCCCGGCTGGTTGGCAGCTCGTTTGGGGGGACTTTCCGGCTGGTCGGCGGCTGGTTTCGGTGTGACTTTCCGGCTGGTTGGCTGCTCGTTTGGGGGGGACTTTCCGGCTGGTCGGCGGCTGGTTTCGGTGTGACTTTCCGGCTGGTTGGCTGCTGGTTTGGGGGACTTTCCGGCTGGTCGGCGGCTGGTTTGGGTGTGACTTTCCGGCTGGTCGGCTGCTGATTTGGGGGGGGACTTGCTGACTTTCCGGCTGGTCGGCTGCTGGTTTGGGGGGGACTTTCCGGCTGGTCGGCTGCTGGTTTTGGCTGGTCGGCTGCTGGTGTGGGTGTGACTTTCCGGCTGGTCGGCTGCTGGTTTCGGCTGGTCGGCGGCTGGTTTGGGGGGGACTTTCCGGCTGGTCGGCGGCTGGTTTGGGTGGACTTTCCGGCTGGTCGGCTGCTTCGGCGGCTGGTTTGGGGATGGCTGGGAGGGGTGAGGAGGGGGAGGGCCTCATTGTGTAGACACGAAAACGTGCCGAAACAGCTGGTGTGTATGTGTACTTATGTAGGTGGTAGATATGCATGTATGTGTACGTGTGTGTGTACGTGTGTTATGTATGTACGTATGCATGTATGTATGTATGTATGTATGTGTGTATATATGTATGTATGTATGTATGTATGTATGTATGTATGTATGTATGTATGTATGTATGTATGTATGTATGTATGTATGTATGTATGTATGTATGTATGTATGTATGTATGTGTCCATATATATATATATATATATATATATATATATATATATATATATATATATATATATATATATATATATATATATATATATATATATATATATATATATATATATATACATTAGCTGCTGTTATGCCGACGGGACTGCCTGGACTGTCCAGAGTCCAGAGCTTCCGACCTCATCGAGACCCGTTTGCAAAGGAGTTCCCGAGCCGACGTTCGGATCACATGCTTCGCAGTCAGTGCTCTGAGTCGTGGCATGATGGTGCAGACATGGTTGCCTTAAGTTGTCACTTGTCGCTACGTAGCCGACCTAGGCCCCAAAATTTTGCGAAAATTCAGGGTCCAGGGTCGCCGACCCAGGCCCCTAAATTTTCGGAAAATTCTGGGGGCTGGGTCACGCACTTGAACTCTGAAGCGAAACCTACAGGTCCTCAGTTGTTTATGTTCCACCCCAGCCCCGAAACACTAGTCACTAAACCCTCAACCCCAAACCCTCTTATGGCCTCCCCTTTTTCTCGGCGACACAAGCCGACAAGCCAAAGCTGAACCCCGAACCTTATCCAGTCAAATCCGCAACTCCACCTGACTCGATGCTGCAGCCTATACTATTACTATACGACCCCAAACCCAAATAGCTTTACGTGACCCTGCAACACAGACAAACGCCCTGTTGGGTAACACAAGGTTTTCCAGTAGACACACGTCCTTCACGTGTATCTCTTCCCACGGAGCTCCGTGGCCATATCTGCGTTGTACCCTCCTCGTCATCCGCGTGCAAGGCGCGGTACATCTTCTTCGCACCATCAAACTCGCAGCGCTTGTCCTGACGGGTCGCGTAAATCTCCACCGTTTCTTTGTTGGACAAACTCGGCCAAATCTGTGTCTTGATGTTCGAGTCTTCCAAGCAGAGGCCGTCCATGAGATGCCCGTCTTTGTCGGTGGGGAAAGCTGTATCCTGCAGCACACAAGCGGATTATTCTGGAGCGCAAGCTGGGGTCGTAGTCACGGGTCGTAGGCTCCTACAGACGTACCTACAGATTCCTACTGCCCCGGCCCCTACGACGACTCCTTGGAAGTAGCTTTGCAAACCCCACAGGCGCAAAGCCCGCGGCTGCTTGCCGATCCAGGGGTCTTCAGCCTCTTGCTGCTGCTCCTCTCAGAAGCTGGTCCGTCGGAGGCCTTCACCAAAGCCCTGCACATGTTCTGACTCTTCTCTGTCTTGGTGTCCTTGCTGTCGGCCTGCACTGCGAAACTTGATACTAGATCATGCAGGCCATGACGTGTCACAGCCACCATCGTTTCACTCAAAACTACGTCACTATGTCCAGCCCATCACTTCCATCTGGCCTTGCGGCCGCCCTTCCCCTTGCCCATGTTCCACGACGAGGTCGGTGGGCACCGGCTACAAGCCTACCTGTTGACCTAGTGGACCTAGTTATTCAGCCAGCCTGAAAACCTAGCGGCGTGACCAGCACGTTCCTGGTCCACTGGTGCAGTCTTGCGAAGTACAACCACAGAGCAGCAGCCGCACGTTCCACAACAAACTTTCAAGGACAAGCCGGCACGAAGTTTGAACATCACGCATGAAGCGCGTGCACGTGAATTTGTGCAAATGCTCAACACTTGCACGCAGCGACGTTAGCTGCGGAGATAGCTCGGCCAACTTTAACCGACCACGACATCCCAATAGGATTCCCTGCCTACGGCACCACCCATGGCTATCTGCAGCTATCCGATGCATTATCTGTGCAGAAGCTGAATCACGCAAGGGCTTTACCTGCAGTTTTCAAAAGCATGACAAGCGAAGAGGCTCCACACCAAGAGAGCCAGCGGAGGCAAAGCGATTCCTTCTCCGGCAGCTCGCCGGACATCTGCATGGGACATGCAGTCAGGGATCTCACAACACCTGTCGTAGCCCTGTAGCATCAGGTGCTCCTTCGCACAAAGCACACGATCTTCTCCCATGTAGTACATGCGGGAGCTAGTCGTAAGGCACCGAACATCGCCCTGCATGTTCGACAAGGGTTGTCTACCATGGCTTTGGCTGACGTCCACCAACATGGAACTGATCTCACGTCGGCGTCTGTTTGTGGCCACGTCGGGAATGGCCAGGCCACTCTTTCGGCATCTGCTCATGTAGGCACAGTTCACAAGGTCAAGAACACGGTCCGTGGTTGGGAGGCCGAGACCCCTGAAGAAGCTTGCCTTCGTCCAGGGGTTGTACGTCTTCTGCACGTTCATCTTCTCTCTCCACAGCTGGGACTCCAATCTCCAGACGGCACATGCGTTTGAAGTGGGGTCCTGCAGGACAACTGCCGCGTCTGCTACCTATAGGTATAGGACTCCAGGACCGATAGAGGACCTATGATATGTCGCGCGGGGTTGGACTAGCTGATTAGCTATCCCAGGGGCTCCAAGTCTTCATTTGCAGACCACGCACTAATGTCAGCGATTTTGGCCATCACACGTATGTTGCTCGATTTGCTGTACGCACCAAATGGGTTCCATGAGTGTGTGCCAATTCGGCCAACGTACCCCCGAAGATGGGCTATATGTAGCATAGAGGGGTTCATAGGATCGGATCACAACAAACGTTTTGAAAGTTTTGGGGATTCGGGGTCCGGAAATCGTGGTTTACGCATCGAAGAAGCAGCCGCTGTCGTTGCACTCCGGATGGCCCATGCATTTGCAGATAGTTCGTGTGGTGTTTAATGTGTATATGTCAGCAGGATCATTCGAGCAATTTACACAGTCAGGATCATGCGAGCAATTTACGCAGGGCGCTTCCCCAAATGTAGGTGGGTTCAGATCAATGTAGGGTTCAATTTATGCAGGGTGGTTTCCTTTAGCTAGATCTTCTGGGCCCAGCCTGGTGGGTTCAGATCCATCCAGGGTGCGTTTTTTACAAAATTATCCTGCTGTTCTGCCTCACTTGCATGTGTCGCCCATGCTCGAATGCATCGTGGGGCCTTTCGATGCCAGAGTCCCAGCATCTGTGTGCACTGGTTATGCGCATGCATATACGGGTCCTGAGATACTTTATAAGTGTAGATTGCGATCGCGAGGTCATCTGGAGGAGTTTCCAGAGCAGAGCTTGCGGGCTCATGATCGATCCAGAACTCCGGCGCCGGTGGCTCGAAATTCCGCTGCTGATGATGCCGATGTCGGTGCTTCTGCAGATCCAGCTTGGCAGTGTGATGGTGCGCCCCCTCCCGCCCCAGCATGTAGACGTGCCTGCCGGCTGTGACTGTGCATGCTTGCTGCAAAAACCGCATGAAGCAAGATTTTGTTGGTCAAGATCTTTTGATCCCGAGTCGGCACCGGGGTGTGCTATAGAGGCCTGCAGCAAACTTCATTATGCTAGGGGAACATTGCATGCTGTTCCTGATTTGGGAGGTCATGGCTAGCATGACGAAACCCGAGACGAAGGCTTTGCACCGCCTTCTACTGGAGGATCAGTGCTTCGTGTGATACAGCGGTGCTGGTATAAGAATCCACAATAAATTTTCAGGACCTTCTCAACGATTGGTTGACTTCGGACG